TTCACCAGTTCAGTCTCATGTACTTAATATATCTTCTGTGGTGGTCTGATCTCCCTGATTAAATTCTGGGATATAATATTCAACTCCAGACTTGTCCCTACGATTAAGTCGGCCATTTTCTTAGTTTTTGAACTCTTATTTCTGTGTGTCTGTATTTAATTTTCCTGATATAGCACTCCCTTGAGAACTTCTTGGAGATCTGGTCTGGCATTGGTAAATTCTTTCAGGTTTTGTTTATCTGAGAATGTTCTTGCCTTTTCTTCCCATATGAAGGAAAATCTTTCTGTTTACAATATTCTTGGTTGCAATTGCTTTTCCCTTAACACTTTGAATATATTTTCCCATTCTTTCCTCACTCGCATTGTTTCCGATGAGAGGTCTGCTGTTAGCCTGATGGATATCCTTTGTAGGTAACTTGCCGTTTCTCTCTTGCCAATCTTAGTATCTTGTCTTTGTCTGTGATTTTGGTCAATCTGGCTCTAATGTGTCTTGGAGAAGATCTTCTTGGGTTGATTCTATTTGGGATCCTTTGTATTTCTTGGGACTGGATCTTTGAGTGCCTCTCTAGGTTTGGAAAGTTCTCTTGCAGGATTATCAATGCCCTTATGAGTCTCTGCCTTCTGGGATACCAATTATGTGGATGTTTGGACATTTGATGGTATCTAGTTTGTTTGGGGGTTTTTTTGAGAGTTTTTTTTTGTTCATTTGGGGTTTTTTGTTTGTTTGTTTTAGTTTTGGTTTTTGCTATAGGGTACGTGTGCTCACCAGAGAGAGAGACAGAAAGCAAGAAATCATCTCCTGGGGGGGATGGCCATGTCACAATCTCTTCCCCATTCTCCTCTTGGGATACTGGATATGTACGCATGCGCCCTCGGCATGAGTTTAAGCCACCACGTCTGGGACTCAAACCACAGTTGATTATATGGGAGTCCAGCGACATAGCCATTATGCCAACTGCTGGTCCCAATAGTATCTAGTTTTTCTTGTATATTATTCTCATTTTGGGAAGCAATTTTCTCAGTCTTCGTGGTGAATTTTTCTAGACCAGTGAATCTATCTTCTACGTCTGAGATTCAATTTTCTGTATGATCTAGTGTGCTTTTAATACTTTCGGGGGAGATTTTGACTTCCTGTATTGTAGCCTTCATCTCTAACAGGTCCATTTGATTCTTTTTTAAAGTGTGTATTTCCTGTTTTAGATCTTGCAAGAATTTCTTCACCTCCTGGGACTTGTCAGCTCCTTTCTCCTGCCTCTTCTGCAATTCATTGTGTCTCTTCTCTTCCATCTCTGTTAGCTTCGTCATTATGAATATTCTAAATTCTTTATCAAACATTTCCATGATTTCCATTGAACTGTCTGTGCATGAAGGCGAGTTATTCTTTTCCCTTGGAGGAGAGGTATTTTCTTTCTTTCCCATAGTTCTTGTGGCCCTGCAGTGCTTTCTAGATGGATGATGCATTTCTTCCTAATTCCTGAAGTTCAATCTGAGCATTCAGGAGTGTGCAGAAAGAGGTGATCTAGAATCTCTTTGCCATTCTGTTTTTATCCCTTTGTGCAGCAGATTCAGTGGGTATTGAGGAATATGTTAACCCTAATAGTATTTGTATGTTTGGCTATGGTTCCCTAGATCCGTCTAGAAATACAGTGAATGGAGATTGAGGAGCAAAGTGATGAGGTAAAAGAAAAAGAATAAGAAAACAGAGAGAGAAAAAGAAGAAAAAAGAAAAAAATTTTATTAAAAAAAAGGCAAAAAATAGAAAACCTCATAATGGAGCAAAATGACTAGTTCTCAGCAGCAATGGAGAAGTCTTCTGAAGGCCTGCCCCTTGCCTCTCCTAGAGGGGAGGGGGAAAGGGATTATTAGCAAGATAAAGGAGAAGCTGAAAGTCAAGAAAATACTTTACCTTAAAATTTTTTTTTAAAAATTACAAAAAAATGAGAAGACAGAGAGAGGCAGAGAGAGACATACAGAGATAGAGGGAAGCATAGAGGGGATCCCTATCACTCAAGTTTGGGGGCTGGAGACAGAATTAGCAGTAGAAAATCTTCATTTTTCTTTTTTCCCTGAAATTTTAAAAGGGAGAATCTATACTATGTAAATTCTTTTTTCTTTTATTTTTTAGCTTTTTGTCATAGGGTACATGCAGTCACCAGAGAGAAGAGAAACAGATAGAAGGAAAGCAAGAAATCACCCCTTGGGTGCCACAATCCTTTCTCCTTCATTCTCTCAGGATTTGGGGCATAGGGAACCAGCAGTTAGCGTAATGGCTATGTCGCTGGACTCCCACGTAGTCGACCGAGGTTCTCGTCCCAGATCCAGCGGTTTAAAACCCACGCCGGGCGCGTGTACGTGCGTGCCCAAGATCCCGAGAGGAGAATGGAGGAGAAGGGATTGGATTACGGCGTGACCATCCCCCCTGGGGGGTGATTTCTCTCTTTCTGTCTCTAATGTTTCCCTCTGTCTGTATGGAAAGAGAACACGCCCTATAGCGAAAATCTCTGCAAAAAAAAAAAAAGGATTTGGGGCATACACATGTACCTGTCATGGGTTTTAAGACATTGGGTCTGGGACTCAAACTGTGATTAATCATATGAGACTCAAGCACCTTAACCACTATTTCATCTGCTAGCCCTACTATGTGAATTCTTCTTTTTTTAAAGAATCATTTTATTTAACTTCATTTATTTTATTTATTTATTTTAATTTGACCAGATAGGGGGAGAGGCAGAGAGAGATGGAAAGTGAGAAAGCAAGCCATCAGGTCCAGGACCCGAACCACAGTCAGCCATGTGGGAGTCCAGTGCCCTTAACCAGCACACCACCTACCGGCCCCTATTCAAATTCTTTTCTCCCAGATTTATTGAGGTATGATTGACAAATAACATCATATCAATCTAAAGTATACAATGTGCTGATTGGATGTACGTTGTAAAATGATTTCCTTAAGGTAGTTAACGCATCTATCCCTCCACCTTTTCTCATTTGTGTGAACATGTGTGTGATAAGAACATTTACCCGGATCTACTTCCTTAGCAGATTTCACAGCTGCGATGCAGTACTGTTAACTATAGTTATCATGTCGTACGATAGGTCCTCAGAACTCACTCGTTTTGTTGGTTTTTTTTTTTTTAATAACTGAAAATTTGTATCCTTTGACCAACACCTGGCAACCACCATCCTACTGCCTGTCTTTAGAACTCTGACTCCCCTACTTCATAGAAGTGGAATCATATGGTATTTATCTTTGACTTACTTCACTGAATGTAATGTCCTCCAGATTCATCCCTGTAGCAAATGCCAGGATTTCCTTCTTTTTATGGCTGAATGATATCCCATTGTATGTATACGCTGTACGCTCCTTAGCCACTTAGCTATGAGTGGACACAGAGGCTGCTTCCGTGTCTTGGCTAGGGTGAATAATGCTGCAATGAACATGGGAGTGCAGGTATCTCTTCAAGCTTCTGACCTTGTTTTCTTTGGATATGTACCCAGAAGTTATGGTATGCAAATTCTATCTCAATAAAGCTGTTATCAAAAAAATACACGCAAATGAAAAGATCTAGCAGCAGTGGGCCTGTCTTCACACATGGTAGCAAGAACTGAGACTTGCTCCTGTTCCCATTTAGACAAGGCATATGTTCTCTGACTTGTCACAGACCCCACTATTCCCTATTGCCCCATCCCGTGTCTTCTATTGTTTGCCATTGCCCTCACATGGCATTATATTACTAATATAAGGAGGCTGCCACATGTGGTGATTAAGTGCCCAGACTGCCTGAGTCCAAATACCGTCCTACCATGACTAACTGTAATGTTGGCTGAGCTAATAACTGCCCCATGCTTCAGTGGAGGTTATGCCTCTTAGGGTTATAGGAAAAACTAAATGAGATCACCTAAAGCCCTTAGAATAGTGCTTAGCACATAGATACAAGGGGTCTTCAAAAGTTCATAGAAAAATACATATTATTTTAAAAACTGGATTTCCAAAAAAAAAATTTTGCAGCAAAAATAAATTATATTTTAATTCTATTTTCCCATGAATTTATTGAAGTCCTCTTGTATGAGGTCTCACTAGATGTATTTTTTCATCCAGTTTTTCAAATAGCAAGTCATAAACCATGAGCAGGTCAGGGGGCCGTTTTTGTGAGTCATGACCAGCATTTTTTTTAAGTGGAATAAAACAGAAGAGTATAAAGTGGAAAAAAATCCATATGCATGAACTATAGAAAGGGAAGGTGAAGGATTTCTGAAAGAGTGCTGGGGTTCGAATCCCAGCAAGCTGAAGAATGAAGAGCGGGTGAGCTATTTAGCCTCCGTGTGTCTGAGTTTCCTCATATGTAAAGCGGGGGATAATTATATCAGTATGTATGGCTGTCATGTGGAATAAGGGTCATACATAAAGCTGGAATGGTCCCTGCTCATACATACATGATGTCATGGTGCAGGTGAAGTCCACACGAGGTTTTGCTCTCAAAGAAATTCCGAGTCCCTGCTGTCCCAATATCTTTTAAAATAAGAAAATGTATTGGGTATTTGAAGAAAAGAGGTGAGAATACACCCCTTCATCCCAGGGAGCCTGCTCCCCACTTTTCTGATACCTGCATGGCTTTATTTTTTTTAATTAATTTTTATTTCTCTTAAACGTTTTTTATTTTAATTTTATTTATTATTAGTAGTAGTAGTTTCTAATTTGCTATAGGGGTCACCAGAGAGAAACAGAGAGAGAGAGAGAGAGAGAGAGAGAGAGAGAAAGCAAGCTGCCAGGTCTGGGATTCTAACCGCGATTAGCCATGTGGGAGTTCAGCACCTTAACCACCGCGCCACCTATTGGCCCAATACCTACAGAACTTTTTAGCCATTCAAGTTTATGGTCTTTTCTGGCAATTAGGGGCCATGTGAGAAGAAAGGGCCAGAAAGAGCGATGTCCTCCCCGGGTCCGTCCCCCAAGCCCGGGGCACAGCCCAGCACCTCACAGCCCTCTGGTTCCTTGGCCAACAGGATGCTGGCGTCCACGCCCTTTGCTGTCACCCTGTACTGCCTGCTCTGGTTCATGCCTGGCGACTCCCTGTCTGTCAGCGTGAGGTTCTTCTGGTACCTGGTCACGTACTGCCTGTTCCAGACATGTCTGAGCGTAAGAAGGGGCCGGCTGGCCTTGAGGGATGAGGGCAGGGGGTAAGTGTTGATTTGGCACTGGTGTTCTGGTCTTGGTTTCTAATCCAAATCAGGGTTCTAGACCCTGCCATGCTGTGCGGCCTCGGCAAGGCCCGACCCCTGTCTGGGCTTTATGATCCCCTTCCATAAAATTAGTTCAGTCCAACATGGTAGCAACCTTTCCATAGGGAAGGCTGGCTTTTACTTACTGAAAACATCACAGCACATGAAACCCTGATTTCAGCCCATTGTGTAGAGAAAACTAAAACCAGAAAACAACAGGGACTTGCCAAGTCTCAACAGGCAGTTCAAGGAGGCTGGGGTGAGAGCCTTGATCTGGACATGGGAGGGATGGGGTGCTGGGAAGCAGAGGTGCTAAAGGGGAAAAAGGAGGCCCAGGCCAGACTGCCTAGCCCCCCTGCATCTGGTCCCCAGTGCTACCATGTGCCGTATACCTCACTGACCATGTTCCTGGGAGGGAGCCAGAGGGACCGGGACTCAGCCACGGCATTCCGTAAGTCGGGGAGGCAGCCATGCCTCTACACCCCTCACCAACTGAAGGGGTTCCCAGGACCTAAAGCCCAACCAGACCCAGAGGCCATATGGCCTAGTGAAGAGGTGATGAGCTGTCAAGTCAGACAGACCTGGATCTGAATCCCAGCTCCTCTCTTCCCAGCTGTGGCCTCGAACCAGTTAGCACCCCTCTCTGGATGTCAGTGTTCTCGATACGGAATAGAGATAACAGCAGGACCTCCCCCCGGGCTACAGTGAGGGTCAGAGATGACAAATGCACAGCACTGTCACATAGAAGGGTCTCGGCAAGCAGCAGCTGCCATCTAATTTCTTTCTTTTTAATCACAGAGTTGCCATAGTCTTTACTTATTGTTCGTTTTTTGCCATAGGACATGTGCACTCGCTGGAGAGAGATGGGGGGTGAGAGGGAAACAGAGAAATCACACACACACACCACCACCCAAGGGGGGATGGCCCCACCACAATCCCTTCTCCTCCATTCTTCTCTCTGGATTTTTGGGCATGCATGCCTGGCTTGGTTTTCAAGCCACTGGGCCCAGGACTCAAACCTCACAGTTGGTCACAAGGGATCTAGCTGCCTTATCTCTGTGCCATCTGCTGGCCCCAATTTTTTAAAGATTTCTTTTATTACGTCCACAAAGTTTCTGTTCACTTACTGCATGCCAGGGACTGTTCAAGGTGCTGGAAACAGAGGTGAGCCTAGGGAATGATGGATGGATGAGGGTGGAGAGGGGCTCCCTAAGCAAATGAGCTGTGCTGTGAAGTAAGAGAAAGGGGCCGGGAGAGCCCCTGCCTCCTGGGTGCCCCCACTCACCCCCATCTCATCTGTGCCTCAGAGCGATACCCACGGCCCCCTGTGCAGAGGAAAGTCCCCCGCCGGGACTGGCGAGTCCCCCCTCCATGGGGCTCAGCGGGCAAGGCTGGCCCCGCGCAGCCTGTGTGTCTCCGCACCCCTGCAGGCATGGGCATGGAGGTCCTCAGCACGCTGGTGGGCGCTGGTGTCCAAGGGCAGCTGGTGGGCCACTTGCACGGCAGCATGAACCAGCACTGCTTGGAGCACAACGGCTCATGGGACAATGGCTCCCTTGGTGGCAACGGCTCACTGCTCACTGACTCTCTGGATAACACAGTAAGGAAGGGCCCACCAACCTCTGCCTCCCTGTGGGTGAACAGGGTCCAGGGAAGTCTGTAGTGTGGACGCGGCCATCCAATGAGAGTGTGCAGCCTGCCTAGGGCCTGGCCCATGTGGGTCACTGAAAAAGTTACAATGGCTGACATTTGTGGACACCTCCGTGGCTCCCTCACACTCTGTACATGCCAAACCCCTCAGGACAAGCTGGGCCCCGACCCCTCGCCCTCTTCTCCCACCCTCCTTCCCACACTGGCCTCCTCGCCGTTCCTCAGACATGCCTGGCACACTCCCACTTCAGGGCCTTTGCATGTTCCTTTCTTCCGCCTGGCACATACTTTGTCCAAGTCTCCACACGGCCCTCGTCCCTACATACACACTCAACTTTTTGGACCTCTCACCAGATGCCTGGAAGAGGACTCCGAGCTCCAGCTTCCTTTTGCTTTGAACCAATTTTCTCCACCTGCCATGTTTATTCACCCATCACACGTGGCTATGGAGCCCGTATTCCGGCCCGTCCTGTGCACTGGGAGTGCGGCGAGAAGAGACAGAAAGCCCCCACCTTCACAGGGCTGTCATCCTGTAGGAGAAACATGCTGTGGGGAGCAACTGGAGCCCACAGCCTACGGGAACATGGGGCAGGCTGCACTGTGGGAAGGCGGGACGGGGAGAGCGAGTTGGGATCTCAGGTGTTGCGATCAGGGAGGCCTCACTGAAGAAGTGACGTCAGAGCAGAGGGCTCGTGGAGGCGAGAGAGCAGGCCTTGCAGGAACCTGGAGGAGACCGCTGCAGGAAAACAGCAGAGGGAGGCCTAGGCCGGAACAGCCTAGAGGAGCAGCAGCTTTCCTCGGCTCACAGCTAAAGTCGCAGTGCCAAGCCCGGCGCCTGGCACGTGATAGGCACTCAGGAAATGCCTACTGAGGGGTCAGCGCTTTCTACACCCCAGGCACAACACTAAGGACCTTGTGCACATTGTTCCCTGACTCCTAACAGCCGCTCAACAGGGTCGGACTGGCCTATATCTTGGCTCCATGCATGAATTGTGTGGCTTGGGAGTTCTTTGAGCTTTCTGAGCCTCAGTCCTCTGAGCTGGAAAATGGGGCTAATTGTCAAGCCCACCTCAGAGGACTGTCACAGGAGTAAATGAGTTAGTATCATAGTTGTTAGCAATCATTATAGATGCTCTTACAGTTATTGGGAAGCAGGAGAAGAAGTCGCTATTTCTGCCTTCCAGGAGGTGGCAAATAAGTTAGCAGTGAGGCAGAGACTTTTACCCCATGACACTGAAGTTTTCCAAAGCAGGCAGAGAGACTTAGAAGGTGTTGGACAGAAAGCAGGTCTTGAGCCAGGACTGAAAGAGGGGTGGGATTTGGAGAGGTGGGAGGTGGGGAGAGAAGACCCGGCAAGAGGGAGTCACTGTGCAAACAGGTGTAGAGGCGAGGCGAGGCGAGCAATCAACTAATGCTCTCTGTTCCCCAGCGGAGGGCGTACATGATGGCAGCCCTGGTCCTGGGCTCTCTCTACAGCCTCTCGTGCCTGGTGCTGGTGCTGGGGGTGAAAGAACAGCCAGGTAAGAGACGGCCCGTGGGCCCAAGAGGGGCAGGGGTGGCCTCATGCTCTTAGGAGACCCTGCTACCTCATTATCCTTCCTCCCCATATTTTCTTCACATCCTATTATTTTGTAATCAGTATGCATGAACTTCTTCATTTTCTTTTTTCCAGAGAGGATTTTGCTATAGGGCACGTGCGCTCACCAGAAAGACAGAGAGAAACAGAGAGATAGAAAGCAAGAAATCACCCGCCTAGGGGTGATGGCCACGCGGCAGTCCCTTCTCCATTCTCCTCTTGGGATCTTGGGCACGCATGCATGCACACGTACTTAGCGTGGGTTTAAGCCACCAGGTCCGGGACTTGAACCACGGTCGACTACATGAGAGTTCAGCAACATAGCCATTACGCCAACTGCTGGTCCTGAACTTCTTTATTTTCTAAGATGCAAAGATAGGACATTTGTTTCATGCTGAATCAGAGCACGGTGCATAGAAAGTCACCAATAGATGTTTATTGAGTAAAAAAATGCATTGTGAATAGCTCTAATACCCTTTACCCTCTGGAAAAGCCTGGAACTTTCTGATGGTGGAAGATACCAGCAAGTGAAAGCACAGATCCATGAGGGCTTTGCAGCAGGAACTTTTCAATGCAAATGACAGAAATGCCACACAAACTGCTTTAGCCACAAAGAGAAGATATTGGTTCACACTACTGAAAATTCCATAGGTATTCAGGTGTGCAGACAAAGTCCTCAGGAATCCATCTTTCCTGCAGGCTCTCAGTCCTGCTATGGTTATCTCAGCCTCTTTGCCAGCTGACACTCCTCTGGTAGCAAGATGCCCACCAGCAGCTACTGTCTCACATCCTCTGGCCTAGCTCCTCTTTCACGGAGGTTCCAGCGAGAATCCCAGGGTTGCCTTCAATTGCTCAGATTGGATCATGTGACCTTTCCTGAACCAATCGTTGTGGCTAAGGGGATGAAGTTTACGGATTGGACCTTGAAGCTGGGGAATGAGGAGTGAGCTGAAAGGGTAGAAGGGGGTTCCCCAAAGGAAAATCTGCTTCCACAAGATGAAGGAAGGAGCCCAAGTTCACGTGTGCCTGGCTACCCGGCCTACTTTAACCGACATAGCTCTCCCCCTCAGGGCCCCTCAGCACCCTAGCCGGGTCCAAGCTGCCCTTCCTTCTCAGCCTGCGGCACGTCCTCCACCACCGGCCCTATGTCCTGCTGCTCAGTGGTTTCTTCTTCATCTCCTTGGCTTTCCAGGTGAGGAGGGGAGGCACGAGTGGGGCTGGGAACTGCAAAGGCCCACTGACCTCTTCCTTCACCAATCTGCAGTTTCAGAAGGGTCTCTGGAAGGGCAGGGGTAACTGCTCTAATTTTACAGATGGAGGAACAGAGGCAAGCCTCCCGGTCCTTCAGCTGCTTCCCCCTCTGAAGGGCAGGGGCAGTGCACCTTGGATTGGAACCCCATGTAGGCTGGGGCTGCAGAGAGCCCCTGGGAGTTTCCCCCGCACTCTCACACTCTCCCTAGATTCAGTTCTCTCCCGGGCCCACTCCCAAAGGTCCCAGCTAAGTCCCATCTGCACTCTGGCTGTGACCTGCATCTGTCACTGTGCCTGTCATTCTCTGCCCTTCCTCACCCAGATGGTCCAAGGGATCTTCGCTTTCTTCTGTACTCATGCCGCTGGCCTCGCTGGAAGCTTCCAGTACCTGGTGATCATCATGCTGGTATGTCTGAGAGGCGGGAGGGACTCCGAGATGCAGCACCCTGCCGGCCCCCAGGGGCCAGAACACCATGGGGTGAATCCTAGCCCAGCCCTTCTCAGCTCTGTGATTTCAGCAAGTGGCTTCTCCTCACAGAGCTTCAGGCTTTTCCTCTGACTCCCACCCCACAGCCTGGTGAGATCAGCATGGCAGTGCCCAGCACAGAGTGGGCGTGCAACAGCGCTGGTCCCCTCAGCTCCATGGGGTGTCTGTAGAAAAGGAAGCAATGCTCCCTGGTGGTAAGAAGCCAAGTTCAAAGGCCAGAAAGTGTTAGGTTCAAATCCTGACTTGCCATGCATGCCCTTCTCAGGACCTCAGTTTGCTCATCTGTAATTTTTTTTTTTGAGAGAGAGAAAGGTTTTTTCTATGGGCCATGCACACTCACTGGAGAGACAGAGACAGAGAGACAGAAAGTGAGAACTCACTCCTCGAGGGTGATGGCCATGCCCCAGTCCCTTCTCTCCCATTCTCCTCTCGAGATCTTGGGCACGCATGCACATGCGCCCGGTGTGAATTTCAGGTTGCTGGGTCTGGGACTCGAATTGCAGTCGACTACATGGGAATCCAGCAATGTAACCAGTACGCCATCTGCTTGTCCCTGTTTGCTCATCTGTAGAATGGCATGAGTGCACCTACCTCAAGGGACGGGGTAAGGCGTGAAGTAAGGTCTTGGGGAGGCTTCCTGGCACACAGCTGGTGCTCAGAACTGCTATGCCTTTCACAGACGGCTTAACCATACAGCCATCAAAAGGCATCCGGGTCGTTTCTAGTTACTAATGGCGATGCTAAAGAAGCTGTGAGCATCAGTACAGGTTTTTGCATGAACATTTTCATTTCTCTGACACAGATGCCCAAGAGTGCAGTTGCTGGATCACACAGTAATTACATGTTTTGTTTGGTGAGGAACTGCCAGCCTGCCTTGATTACTACTGCTGTAAAAACTTTAATATTGGGTAGTATGATTCCTCCCACCTTTCTCTGTGTCAAGATTATTTTAGCTCTTTCATAGCTTATACCTTTCCATACAATTTTGAGTATAAACCTATCTATGTCTACAAAAACTCTTACTGGGATTTTGATGTCTATTACATTGAACCTACAGATACATTTAGGGAACATTGGCATCTCTACTGTGTTGAGACTTCCAATTTGTGAACACATTGTGTTTCTCTATTCATTTAGGGTTTTTTTTCAATCCAATAGTATTTATGATTTTCAGCATACACATACCGTACATGTTTTGTTAAGTGTTTCATTTTCCCTGGAGAAATTATAGGTGGTTTTGTGTTTTTCATTTTGGTAGACACATATTTGTTGCTACTGTATAGAAGTGATTGATTGTGGGGGGACTAGTAGGTGGGTTAATGGTTACGTCACTGGATTCCCACATAGTCAACCTCTGTTCAAGTCCCGGATCCATTGTCTTAAAACTCATCCTGGGAGCATGTGTGTGCATGTCCAAAATCCCAAGAAGAGAATGGAGAAGGGATTGTGGCATGGCCATCCTCCCTGGAGGGTGATTTCTCTCTGTCTTTCTGTCTCTTGAGTGAACACACATGCCCTATAGCAAAAATTCCTCTCTAAAAGAAAAAAAAAAAAGAAGCAATTGATTTTTATACATTTATCCAGTGTCTTATGACTCGGATGAACTCATTTATTAGTTCTGGGAGTTTGTTGTTTTCTTTTATTTTTAACTATTTATTTTATTTTTTATTATTATGTTTTTTAAAGAATTATTTATTTATTTAATTTGACCAGAAAGGAACAGAATGAGAGAGAGAGAGAGCGAGAAAGTGAGAAAGAAAGCTGCCAGGTCCAGGGACTCGAACCACAGTCTACCATATGTGAGTCCAGCACCCTTAACTACCACGCCACCTGCCAGCCCCATTATTATTATTTTTACTGTAGGGCACATTTGCTCACAAGAGAGAGAGAAAGAAAGAGAGAGAGAGAGAGAAAGCCACCAGGTTCCAGACTCAAACTGTGGTCGACCACATGTGAGTGAGTCCAGTGTCTTAACCACCATGCTACCTGCAGGCCCCTGTTACTTTCTTAATTCCTCTAGATTTCCTATATAGTCAAATAGGTCATCTATAAATAGGTTCAGCTTTCTCTCTTTCTGTGTTTTTCTTTCTTTTTTCACTTATTTCTTCCCTAACAGAGAAACAGAGACAGACAGAGAAGCAAACACCCACAGCAGGGTTCTCTTGCCATGATGTAACCTCAGGTCACAGCTTATGCATGGCCAGCATGCTCAGTGAGGTCCTGGGACAGGAATTCAGGGCCTGTCCCACATAGGTCTCATTGGGTTTTCTCTGCACCAAAGCCAGAATGTATTTCTTCCTTTCTGGAGCTAGCGTTTTATTTCTTATTTTTACCCTGTTGCAGCGACTAGAACCTCCTGTATTCTGTTAAACAGGAGTGGCGTGTAAGGACATCCTTATCTCTAATCTTAGGAGGAGCGTGCCATTAGGAAAGCATGTTTGGAAGAAAGTTGCCTTTCACTATTGAGTATGATATTAGCTATAGTGGTTTTTAAAAATTATTTAATTTTATTTATTTTTTATTATTATTATTATTTTAATTTGACCAGAGAGAGAGAGAGAGAGAGAGAAAGCAAGCTGCCAAGTCTTGGACTTGAACCAGGGTCAGCCACATGGGAATCTAGCACCTTAACCACCACACTACCTGCCAAGCCCCTGGGTTTTTTTTATTTATTTAAGTTTTGTTTTGTTTCATTTTTTATTTTGTAGATGTTATCAAGTAGAGATAATTCCCTTCTATTTATAACTTGCTAGTTTTTTTATATATATAAAGAATACTTGTTCAATTTTTGTTTTGGGCATCTATTAATATCATCTGAATTTCTTTTTTAAGCCCTCTTTTTTAAAACATTGTTAAAACAGCATTTCTAGAATAAATCTAACTTGATCATGGTATGTAATTATTTTTATACATTGTTGGAGTTCATTTGTTAATATGTTTGTTGAGGATTTTTTTAAGTTTATGGCAGATAGTGGTTTGAAATGTTCTCTCTTTTTTGTTATTACTTTGTGGATTTCAGTAGAGAGTAATACTGGCCTAATGCAATGAATTAGGAAATGTTTCTTCTTCTGTGTTTTGTAGAAAATCGTATAAATTTGGTATTAATTCTTCTTTAAATGTTTGGTAGAATTACTCAGTTGGGGAGGGGGCTTTCAATTATTATTATTATTATTATTATTATTATTATTTTAATTGCCAAAGAGTGTGTGTGCTCACCAAGAGGGACAGAGACAGAGAGAGAAAGAGAGAGGGGGAGAAAAGTACCTGTCTCTGGTGCTCTGGTGGTAGTCATGCCACAAGCCATGATCCCTTCTCTACTGTTTCTCCATCCGTCAAAATTTGGCACAGTCACACACACAGATACGCGCACACACACACGCATGCACGCACACACCAGGCATATGTTTAAGCCTTCAGGACCAGGATTTAGTCGACTATGTTCTATGCAGTCTCTTAACTACCAAGCTACAGGGCTGATCCAGAAGCGCTTTTTTTTTTCTATAGGGTACATGTGCTCACCAGAGAAAGAGAGAGAGAAATCACCCCCAGGAGGAATGACCACACCATGATCCTTCCTCATTCTCCTCTTGGGATCTTAGCCATGCAAGCACACAAGCCCTGCGTGATTTTCTAATCACCGAGTCTGGGACTCAAACCATGTAGTTGCTTGTGGGATTCAGAGCTTTAACCTCCACACCACTAGAGGTCTTTTAATTATGAATTCAACTTTGTAAATGGTTATAGGACCATATAGATTACCTATTTTATCTTGGTCAAATTTTGAAAACTTTTTATTTTTGAGAAATTGATCTAAGTTGTTGAATTTATGAGCATAAAGTTGTTTATAATATTTTCTTATTATCATTTTAATGGCTGTAGACTCTATGTTAACATCTCCTATTTCATTTTTTGTATGATTTCTCTTTTTATTGTTAGTACTTTTTTAAGAATTATTTTATTTAACTTTATTTATTTTGACATTTTTGACCAGAGAGGGACAAAGTGAGGGTGAGAGCAAGAGAGAGAGAGAGAAAGCGAACTGCTAGGTCTGGGACTCAAACCACAGTCGGCCATGTGGGAGTCCAGCACCTGCTAGCCCCATTTTTATTGTCAGTATTATTAAAGACTTACCAATTTAATTTTTTCAGTAAATCAGCTTTTTACATTGATTTGCTCTATTTTTTTATTTTCAATATTTTTGATATCTGTCATGATCTTTACTTTTTTTTTATTAACTTTGGCTGTATGTTGCTCTTTTTCTTCTAGTTTCCTGAGATACTTAAGTTGTTAATCTGATATCTTTTGTCTTTTTTTTAAGGTGTTTGCCGTAGGGTGTGTGTGCTTACCAGAGGCAGGAGAGACAGAGAGGGACAGTGAGAGGAAAAGTAAGAAATCACCTCCTGAGGGGGGTGACCATGCCACAGCCCCTTCTCTTCAATTCTCCTCCTGGGATTTGGGGTATGTACGCACACGCACCTGGCATATTTAAGCCACCAAGTCTGGGACTAGAACCGCAGTTGGCCATGTGGGAGTCCAGTGCCTTAACCACTATGCCATCTGCTGGCCTCTAATTAAGTATTTAGTGCTATGCGCTTCCCCCTCAGTACTATTTTAGCTGCACCCCACATATTTTGGTACCTTGTATATTTACTTTTACTCCATCTTATGTATTTTTAAAAATTTTCCTTTAGATTTCTTTTTTTTTTTTTGAGAGGTTTTTGCTATAGGGCGTGTGTGCTCGCCAGACAGACAGAGAGAGACAGAGAGACAGAAAACAAGAAATCACCCCCCCAGGGGGGATGACCATGCCGCAATCCCTTCTCCTCCATTCTCCTCTCGGGATCTTGGGCACGCACGTACACGTGCCCGGCGTTAGTTTTAAGCCACCGGGTCCGGACGCGAACCGCGGTCGACTACGT